AGAATGTAGCTAGGCTTTGGTTTTCCTAGCATTGTTGTGGACAGGCATTGTAGTGCTAGAAAATACAGGTGCATCTTTGGAAAAATTTGTTTTGATTCACATAGATGTTGCTGAATGATTAGAATATAGGCTTCATAGTTCATAGCACCATCCCCAAACTGCAAATTTCCACCTTCCTGTACACTTGCATCTCCCAACCATTACAGATTGTGACTTCTAGAATCATCTTGAATAACATACTGGATTATTAGCTTCATCTTTAATATGAATGGCTTTCTTGCATATATTCCCATAGTTTACATGAAATGTTGATTTCATGTATTCTCACAATCAATGTTTGTCTGCTTCAAACGAGTTCTGGCCCAAGCTAAACCTTTGCTTGCATGATTCATCCTTTGGATTTGCATAGCCTGTAGTTATCGGATATATCTCCACACTATGCATTCAGATAATGGGATATTAAAGTATTCCCTTGCTCACTTTGTCAAATCTTAAAATCTCGTAAGGAAACTTGCCTATTGTTGGAAAGATACCATCAAAAGGACTGTATTGTTTGGAACTTAGAGTTAGTTTTCTTCCTAAAGCTTTACATGGGCAAGTATTTTTCCTTTCTTGAAAATATTTTATGATTCCCTGGACTATAAGACAGATATCTATACATCCTGTGCAACTGCATTGAGAAAATCCTTCTTTACACTTCTGGATAATAGTTTTCCTAATTGGTTCTGGTATTGTCTTACCTTTTGCCATTTTTCATAGACATTAAAGGTGACTTGCCTTCTATATGTAAAATGTGTGGCATAAGAAAAACTACAAGAAATTTCAGAATATTCTACAAAAATCTTTTCTGAATGAATTTCATTGCATTGTGTTGCCAAGTGGTTGCCAGATTTGCATAGCTATGTATTCCAAACTAATGAAATCCAAGGTAATAAGTTATTGGAATGAAATTGTTTACTTACAAAAGGAATTATTTATAACACTTCATTTAGTGTGTATGTACAAGTTTCTAAGTTTATATAAATTTCTGAAAATTTAAATGGTGAATGAAGTTCATTGCAAACAGAGTTGTATTTTCATATATAATTTTTCCCAAGAACAAAATCTTACCAGCATGAATAAGATTCATATGATTTATTTTTTTTTTATTATGCAAATAGGTTCATATTTATTTTACAGAAAACAGGATATATAAATCATTTTTTAGAAATACATAATTTAGCAAAATAATTGATTGTAAGAAAGTTATAAATTTTTGAAAATATTTTAAAAACACAACTTTAAAACATTCCTATATGGAACCATTTTATTTTGTAATTATACAGATGTGTATCTAAAATGAAGTATTTATTTCATTAAATATCATAGATCAAGTTTTCTCATAAATCTATGGGAATGAATGATCTAAGCAGATCCTAATCTGTTTAAGAAATTAGTTGGCACCAAAATTAATCCAAACATGTATTACAATGAATAAAAGCATCTTTGAAACTACATACAGTTGTACCTCAGGATACGAAATTAATCCGTTCCGTAACTGAGATCGTATCATGAAAATGTCATAAGGTGAATCATTTTTCCCCATACAATTACATGTAAAACCAAATAATTTGTTTCAGCATGAAAAACACACTCAAATTAAAGCTCAGTAGTACATTGAAAAAAAAACTTTAGTTCGGAAAACACTGAAAAATGCGTTTTGTAGTTGTAAATGTATAAATAACCATAAAAGAATAATAATTGATTAAAAAAAAAAATGTAGTTTTATTTGCACTTTACCTTTGAGGATAGACAACGATGGAGGTGTAAACTGGTGGCGGAGGAGAGGGAGAAGGGAAATGATACTAAAACTTAACTTACATAACATAATGTAACAATAACTTAAAAATAACTTAGAAAAGATTAAAAAAAATTAATGTTGTTTTATATATATTTTAAAAATTTTTATTTACTGATTTTTGCTTTCTTTCCTTCATTTCCATCCGCACTTTCACTGGATAGAGGTCACTTGGTAAAATATCTATCCAAAGAGGTTTGGCTTTGCCTGCTTTTTAAAATTTTTCTAAAATGACTTAGGCTAATGTCATTACTCTGAGCAGCAACATGGCCAGTGTGAACCTTTTCAGGATGTTTCTTTTCAATAAAATCAGACACTTTCTGATAATACCTCAAGATTTCCTTTATCGAGCGAGATTCTTCCACGACGAAGCAAACGCGGACCAATGAACAGAAGTGAATAAAAAATGGCACGCTGCAAACTAATAGTGTTTAACTATTAGTTTGCAGCTCGTGGAGCAAAAATATGTTCGAATTTTATGTCGTATCCTGAAAATTTCGTATGTTGGGGCGTTTGTATCCTGAGGTACCACTGTATTATATATATACAGTATATTTCAAGCTGTTCTGAGCTTGGCTAAATTTGAACAATCAACTTTTCAAAATGTGTTTACATAGGAAATCTGAAATTTTTTTAGTGTTTTGGAGGAAAAATATGTAATTACAGTAGAGCATCAATTATCTTACTCAATTGGGGACTCAGGTTGGTCGGATAACTGAAAAATTGGATAACTGAAAAAATACATTATTAGTATAGTATATCAGTATATTCCATGTAATTAGTATATTAGTATATCGCTATTAACCAACTTCGCATTGAATTTTCATTGATGTTAAGCCTAACAAATTTTTTTTAAAATAATAGTCACTATTGTATCGTTAAAAATTATTTTTAAATGATTTTATTGCTCACAAAACAAACAACCACTCATAATTAGAAAATTAAGTCTCGTTTAAGTACTGGCCTCCCTTCAATGGTCGAGCCAATGTTGCCAGCTAAAACACGCAAAAATTTAACAAAAATAATATTAAAGTAGCCAAGACATAGCCAAATATTGTAGTGCCACATCACTAGCGGACATTTGAAATTTGCCTATTAGAACAGATGGATAATCAATGCTCTACTGTATTTTGAAAATTGAATTTTATTCTATCTAAGGGAATTCCCAAATGAAAAGTAAAATTCAGTGTACTCATGCACTCATTGTTGATTTAGACCACAGGTTCTCAAACTTATTTTTGACCACCACCCACTTTGAGATTAAAAAAAATCTAGAGCCCCCATATTTTTTAACTTACCTTTTACATTATCATCTGTTGCATATCTTAAAAACAGTTATTGCAAATATAATGTTTAAGCGTGCATTATTATATGGATAGGATAGATAGGGTGTGACCCATATCCTATTTCTGAGATCAAAGAATGTTTCAATGAGAAGAAATAAAACTCGTATTTAATCACTGAACCTTCTACTGCCCCTCTGAAAGACTCCAGCGCCCACAGGGGGGTGTTATTGTTCACTTTGAGAAAGGATGATTTAGACCAAAAGCATTGTAATTAAAAATTTAGAAGTTCCCATATAAAAATAAAAACAAAAATTTTTTTTTACTCAGTACTAAAGCAAATAGCAACAGAAACCACTATACAGTTCTTAAAATGCAAATAAATTATTGAATTTTAAACAGTTTTTCCTCCTGCTTTCCACATTGTATAATTGATTAGGCTAGAGCAGGGGTCGGCAACCTATGGCTCGCGAGCCACATGCGGCTCTTTGGATGTGAAGCTGCGGCTCTTTAGTTCCATATGCAAATATTATTTATTTTATCAAANAAAAAAAAAAAAAAAAAAAACATTTAAAAATCGCTCTGAATCAATTAACGAGGATTAGGTACTGATTCTATCTTTCAGCCACTTGTACTCGCTTTTCACCGCACCCCTCTTCCGTGACACGCTTCGTCACTGTCGTCAGTCCGTCGGAAGCTCTCTAAAGACACTGTCGTTGGATGTTTCTATTATCTAATTTGTTGTGAAAAACACTACTTATATATGAATAAATAGATATTTTTTCTTATGAATAAATAGATTAGTTTTTTTATCAAAAAACTTTATTTATGCGAGTACTATTTATTATTGGCAAGAAAAAATTTTGTGGCTCTTTAAAAACTTTGAAATTTTGTAAATTGTAATTTTGGCTCTTCCAACTCAAAAGGTTGCCGACCCCTGGACTAGAGGAACAAGCTCCTTCTGCAAATGTCTATTAGTACTCATATATTTTATAATATTTGAAATAAAATTATTTATCTTATATCTTCAGTATTGTCCTCAATAAATAACTATTGATATTTCTTTTAAAATTGAGTCATGAAAATGAATTATGTTAAAACCTCTCAAAAAGAACTTGTCATTTAACACGTAATACAGTAGAGCATCGATTATCCGATCCCCGATCAACTGTCACATCGGTTAACCAACCGCGTTCTAGTCGGCAAATTCAAATGTCCGCTAGTGATGTGGCGCAACAGTATTTGGCTATGTCTTGGCTACTTTAATATTATTTTTACGTGTTTTAGCTGGCAACACTGGTTTGACCATGAAATGGAACCAGTATTTAAACAAGGTTTAATTTTCTAATTTTAATGATACAATAGTGACAATTATTATTTAAAAAAATTTTTTGTTAGGCTTAACGTCGATGAAAATTCAGCGCGAAGTAGGTTAATAGCGATATACTAATATACTATACTAATAATGTATTTTTTCATATTTTTTGGTTATCCATTTTTACAGTTATCTGACCCATCCAGTCCCCAATTGTGTCGGATAATCGATGCACTACTGTATATAACAGACAAAATGGCAGCAAAACCATTAGTTTAAAATCCATTCATGCATAAACAATAATAGCCTGTAATCTTAGATTCATTTGTTAGTATATATTTTTTACACACAGCATACTCTTTTTTTTAAACTAGTGGTAGGATAAATGAAACACAATTCTCTATAACTTACTCTATAAACTTACCTAAACAGATATTCTGGCTGGAGTTTTTTTCTATTTTAGACAAGTTTTACTGTATTTAATTTTTTGTAATATAAATAATTTGGTTTTTAAAAAATCTGTTTTGATTTTTTTCATATTTTAAAAAGCACTTTTTTTTTCTAGGTTGCTCTCATTCTTCATAATTTGTCATATGAAAAACACAATATTCCTGTTCTTGCATCAAACTCTAACTTTTTGAGGTATGTATTACATAGTTATAGTAATGTGTTGGTATGTATATATTCTATAGTAATTTTTATGTAATATAATAAAAATATTTCTCAGTCTATCATCATCAACTGCTAATTTTAATTCCTAAGCTAGACTATTATCCAGCCAAAATCCTCAGAATCGTGAATAGCTTTTAAGAACTCTTCTATGGATTATTGATGGTTACTTACAAGGAGACCCTATGGCTTTGGAGAAACAGATTTTGATGATCTTTGGTGTAGAGGTAGTACACCATGTGAGTGTACTACCTGTAAAATACTAAAGTGCAATACTCAAATATAATCAAGAAAAACGAACTTAAAGTTTTTTTTTAGCACTTTATATATAAATTATACCTGCTTCCATTCGAGCATCCTGTGGCTGAGTGATAATGATCCTGACTCATGCTTGAGTTCCCCGGTTCAATTTTTGTGTACACTTTTTTTTTTTTTTTAATTCATAAATACTTATAATGTATTTATTTATTTTAATTTAATTTCTACTATTCCAAGTCTAATATTTTTTACTTTTGTTGACAATAACGGCACATTCTTGACACCTATGTGTCAACTTTCCCATCTAAATGTTATCACTAACAGTGACTGATCTAATTCTCACTAGGAGCATTTTTTCTATCAGAGTTCTTTTTCACTCACTCTTTAACAGTTTGTTTCTGAATTTCGACACGAATAGACATATTTGTGCAGTGAAATTTATTTTGAATAATTATTTTATAATTAAAAAAAGTCATCAAGAGAAGCAAGTTCTTCACATTGTAACGAAAAAACTATTGATGATAACTCTTTATACAGTGATGTATCGAAGCAGCATCTAAAAGATGGAGTAGAGTATTATGAGACTTTACTTTTCGAAAATAATTTAGTTGCAACATCATCTTCAACAAATAAAAATATTAGACTTGGAACAGTAGAAATTAAATTAAAATAAATAAAAAAAAAAACCAAAAAATCAATAAATAATAAGAAATAAATGAATGAGTGAATAAATAAATACATTATAAGTATTTATGAATAAAAAAGGGGGAAGTATACACAACAAGAAAATCAACCATGAACGCACAAGCATACAAGTCAGGAGCGTTACTACTCAAGCCACAGCAAGCTCAATTAGAAGTATGCGTAACTTATATATAAAGGGCTAAAGAAAACTTCAAGTTCGTTTTTCTTGATTATATTTGAGTGTTGCACTTTAGTACAGTCGACCCCCCCCAACATGGATTCCTGTAGTTAAGATTTCTATATCACGGCGAAGAAATTGCGACAGTATTTGTACAAGCATGATAAAAAAAACTCATATAATTTGGTAAAACGTCATTGTCAACTTGTGTCGTGACAGGATTGGTCGAATCTAGACCAATAGCGGATATTGCACAAACTGTTGAGTTTAAACGAGTAGCGGACCTACTAAAAACCATTTATTATTTAATGGCTATAAAAATTATATTTATATTAATGATGTCTCCAATGTTCAGCGAATTTTTCGCAAAAAAAAGATAATTTATCAGGAAGCACGTGAGCGCCATTTGATGACAAGCTCCACGACGAAAACAAGCTTAAGCAATGGCGTAGTCGAATGGTGCATGTTTGGTAAGTAATCCTACAATTTTTTGTTTATAGCATATAATTTTTTGGGAATAATCCATATAAACAATGTATATTGGAAATGTTGAGTCGAATTAGTGTAGAATCGATTAATTTTATGAAAGAAACCTTTCAAACAGCTGTAGTCAGTAAACGGCATACATGTCGGGCTGTGATTGGCTGGACTTGTAGAAAATGGATTCATAAAAACCGGAACGTATCTACCGTGCTATAGGGGAGGTTGACTGTATTTTACAGATGGTACATTCACATGGTGTACTAACTCTACACGAAAGATCATCAAAATCTGTTTCCCCAAAGCCGTGGGGTCTTCTTGTTAGTTACTTAAAAATGTGACTTCTGTATTAATTGACTTACCCACTTGAATTTCTAATCTTTAAAAAAAAATTTAAATAGAGTATAATAAGTACAGTGGAACCTCGGTATACGTCTGCTTTAGAATACGTCCAATTCGGAATATGTCCTGTTCGGACGAAACAAATTTTGCTCTGTATACGACTTTTGTTCGGTATACGACTTAATTCAATTATACGCGCCATCTATGAACAAGTAGCACTATCGGTGTACTACACTAGACTAGACGTTCGCGGTGCTACGGTTTATAACTTTGTTAAATTTCTTCTGATTTTAATTTGTAAGTAACATTTTATTATTTTTATTAATCATGAATTGCAAAAGGGCAACAGAAAAATAAAAAAATGACTA